GTTAGATCTAGTAATTTGAACTCGGAAAGGCTGGGCCCTTTAGGGAGTAGGCTGAGGGATGCAACGAGGAATGGAGAGGTGGCTGCTAGGGAGACATTAGAACGGAGAACGAGAACCCGGGATATCGATCAAGAAATGAATCGTGAGTATTGACTGCTGTGTGTCATAGGAGGTTATTGACGCGTTATGCCCTTTGACTTCTGTTTATCAATATCAATTGTCGACTCAAACATCGTCTTTGTCACTCCAGGTATCGAAGCTGTCTTGCAAAGACATGGAGCCGAGACTGAGGCTCTTCTTCGCGAAGACCCTGACAATAACGATCGACAACGCGATATATTTTCACCTCCTGTTCCTCCTCCCCGTCCACCACGAAGGATAGGTTTTGGTGGAGCCGTCTTCCGTTCCGGTAATCGACAGATCAACTTCGCACCGTTACCAGATGGACGGGCACGCGAGAGGCTTCAACTGACACGGGAGAGACGCGAACGACGTGATGATAATGCCGATCGTCCTCCGGTTGAAGTCCCGGCAGGCCACAGAAACTTTGCGTGGCTGGGAGGTGGGATCGGTGCAGTGACAAGGGACATTCTCGCCAACTTTGGATTTGGGCCCGACGCCGATGGTAATGTCGGCGGACCGATGGAGCCTCGCGACCCCCAAGGATGGGCTGCGGTCCTTCGAACTTTGGGAGTTGTGCGTGAAGCGGGTCGAGCAGGTGCAGGAGAAGTCAATGTAGAGGCCGAAATTGCAAAGGTGCCTCTACCTGATTATGCTGCACCTCCTCCAGGCTACACTACCAATTTTGAAATCACAAGTCCTCCATCCCCGATCGAGATTGACGATTCAGGTCGAGTCGTACCTACAAAGCGAAAACGTGCCAAACCATACCTCGCTTGCATACAGTGCCTCGACCCATTACTCGTATCGTCAGCCTATCGAACATCAGACGAGCGAGTATGGGCTCTTCAATGTGGCCACATGATTGACCAGAAATGCCTTCACGCCTTATCCACCCCTACTACTTCTGAACAGCTCGCTACGATCATCAATAACGAACCGCCGGCGGCTCTGCCTATCCTCGATGGCAGGGAACGGAGAGGTCGGAATAAACGCCAAAAACTCACTAAACCGCCAAAACCTGCTGAATATACTTGGCGGTGTCCGGCTTGCAACGAGGAGCATCTAAGTATGAAGGAGGCAGACAAGGAAGAGTGGGAGCAGATGGACGGAAGGGGTGCATTACAGGTTTACGCGTAGGATAGAGAGCTTCATGTAGCAGACGACTTTTCGATATGGTTCGAGAGTGGCTCGATCACTTTATGTTATGCTGATGATCTACTGCTGGAACGCCGAAAAACGACAGAAAGTCACTTGGCAGTGTCCAGCTTGCAACGAGGAGCATCAAAGTATCAAGGAGGCAGACGTGGAAGAGTGCATTACAGGTTTACGCGTAGCACCGAGAGGTTCATGGAACGGCGAGTGAAGTATTATGGGTAAATGCATGCCTCTCCTTCCACCTCCCACAAAGAAGCTCAATAAAAATAACACACAGGGGATTGACCAGCTTATATGCATTGATATGATTGCGCTCATTACCCCACCTAGTCCCGTTCGTCGGCGGACGTTCAAGACGACTGTCCAAATATTATATTTCCCGCATCCACACATCACGCCAAGAATAAGACAGCATAGAGACTGGTTCCCTATTTAGCATGTGATATATCCACCACTACTTTGGTTTATTAGGTGAGAACTTTGACCTAGCACGAAGTGTCGGTCCGTATTTCATGATCAGCATTGGGATTGGTCTATTTCGGATATATCAGTCTCAGTCCATGCAATGAAGCAACAGGGGAAGCAAGGAAAACAACGTCGAGGAGGACTCACGCCATGAGTAAAGCAAGGAAACCGAGGAGGGAAGAAGCCCATTGAGTTCCGAGTTTTTCGTACATCTGCGTAGCGAACAGTGGAAATCCTGCACCGAAAGCAGATCGCACGACAGCTAAACCCACGGTTTTTAGCGAACATCTGACTTGAAGAGCGAGAATAAGACTTACTCATGGCTGAAAGAGCTGAAGCAGCAGACCATAGATAGGTATCGATGACATAGTTGAATAGACTGACGAACATGCCCAAGACGGCGAATCCGAGTACAGCAACAGCGAGGATGGGTGATATCCAATGAATGGAAGCGTAGGACGTCCAACCGAACCAGAACATGGCAACCACAAGGGCCCAACCAGAGATGACGCACATCTCGAGCCGCTTTTCAGGACGTGGTGGTTGAGGACTCAACTTTGCGGCATGTCGCTGGAATCGTGGTTCAATAACAGTCATAAAGCTGATCATTAATTTATCAGCCAAGTGCTGGACTAGATGAGATGAGAGGAGGACATACAAGACGACACTCAAAACACCGCCTGAAAGGAGACCCAAGAATGCAAGGCCGTCTTCACCCGAATTGAAGCCGTGGTTCCGCTCAAAGACAAAGCTATATAAGTATAATCAGCAAAGTGCTATTTATCCACAAGATTTGGAAACTCACGGAAAGGCCTCGAAAAGCAGATAAACAACACCATAAACAAACGACATGTACAGGGTACAAGCAAGTAGCATGGGTTCTAGTGCTGAGAAAAAAGAGTCAGTTTCGTATCTGATGGAATGTGATCGGTGACTCACCGAGCATGATGAAAGGCTTGAACAAGATTGCGTTGAGCCTGGCCTTGAACGCGTGATCTGCCTTCTCCAATGGCGCATACCACCTTTTCTCGTCCGTATCCTTGCGCAACCGTTTGGCCTTTTGTACCAATATCTTGGGGGCGTAAGTCTCTGGCACGGTGAAGAAGACCACGACGAGACATGAACCAGCAAACATGGTGAGGATCCAATACACCCAGCGCCAATCCTAACCCCGAAAGTCAACACAATGTCCACCATGTCAACTGATTGTGCTTACAGTGCCTGAAACGGAGATAAATCCTGCAACGATAGGACCAATTGATGGTCCTGCAAACGGTGCGAGAGAAAACAGACTCATCGCCTGACCACGGTGATCCACATCCCAGATATCAGCCAGCATTGCACCGGCATTTGTCAGTGGAGCCGAAGCGAAGCAACCTCCCAGGAACCGGAAAATGAGGATACTCGCAGTGTTTTTCGAGAGCGCACAACCGACCTGGAAGCCGGTGTACACGAGAAATGTAATGAGGAAAATCGGCCGACGACCGTACGATTCGGACAATGGTCCCCAGAGAATGGGACCGACACAATAACCTGCGACAAAGAGTGCGATGGTAAGGACTGCGACTTCTTGTGAGAAGCCAAAGTATTTCATCATGTTCGTCACGATGCCCGATGGTGCCGATGAGGCGAATGTCGAGTTGAGTACGAGAGTACCAGCAACACCCGTAAGGTACCATCGATATCCGACACTCCAGTTCTACTTTTTTGTCAATGTAATCAAGAAAGGAAGGCCAGACGTACTTTGGGGTTTGTTCTTTCTCCGGGTTCGAATTTGACTGCCCATGGATCAGGTCCCTGCAGTCGCTTCGCATCACGCTCCTCTTCCTCTTCACGACTACGCACAGCCCTTAGACCTTCCTCTGCATCTCGTCCTGTCGGAGCGACACCGCCAAACAAGCCCACAGCGGGCGGCTGTGAAGTGGTACGGTCGAGTGGTAACATGCCCACTCCGTCAACCGTGTCTTCACCGGTAGTAGCATATTTGTGTCTGGCGACTTTAAATCCAGAGCTGGTTCGCTCTAGCTTTGTACCGTCTGATGGGTGACGATCTAATTTCTTGTGAGTTGGATGTGTAGGTGAAGAAGAAGGTGGTGGGTGACTCTTTTCGTCAAAGGTATCTCCATTTTCACCAAGTCCTAATTCTTTCCTTGCCAACGCCGCAATTTCCGGACCAGTTTTTCCACCCATACTGGCAGCTTGGTGGTCCTTCTCAGGAATCCCAGACGCCATATGTGAGCCAGGTAGAGGCTGTCCATTCAATCCGCCTGCAGTAAGCGGTACACCCCCAGCGCTACCACTCAATGTCGGCGTAGATGACTCGTTGTCGCTATCCTGCATAGCGACGACTTGCCGATCTTGAGCAGCAGGGTCAGTCCCTCGTGCATGTGCTACGGGATTGATAGGGACTGTACTAGGTGCCGTCCTCGTATGTTCCAGTGGAGGTAGGGGAGGGTGTGTCGGATCGGAAGCAGTCTGAGTTGGAATAGCGGTTTCTGAAACAGGTTGTAAAGGAGTCTCAGAATATTGATTGGTTTCTTGTGCAGTGGATCCTACTGGCTGGCCAAGCGCAAGTGGGTCGTGTGGTGCTGCCATCTTCTTCCCGATCACTTTTGCTCTTCCGAAAGTATGACAAGCAATGGTGACAAAGAAATAAAATTAAATACGTGTTGATGTGGCTGAGGTAATGCACTCGCAGTTCGAGTCGTATGAACTTTGAAAATATCGTTTACCACCGATTATGACAAAGATATCACCGGCGGTTGGCTATTATTGGCTGCAACACACTCTGTATAGGGACAGAATAGAGGGTCGGGGTGGAGGTCTCCCTAGGACTTTTGCAGCTGACAAGTTTTCGATGAGCAGAGCGAGCAACAACTCAAGATCCAGGATCTAAGTCGTATTTCCCGAAATAAGCTTCAGACTCGCCAGAGTTACCTCTTTTGGTCGGTTTTCTCCGTTATTCCCGTTGTTTCCGGTTGGGATGAATCAGCCTTCTCACGTGAATCTGCCGAAAGTCTGACATACGTGCCGAAGACTATTTCATGCTGGTAGATCTACTTCTAGGTAGACGTAGTTGTCCACTTTGTAGATGCCTATCTGGCATCTCGAGTCTTAACAGGGTTGGGGTTTGTAAGTATGGAAAGATCATGTGAGGCGGAAAAGACGTGACCCAATAGAGGTGTTGAATTTCTGATCCTTGCCACAGACCTGATTTTGCAATTATAAATTACACAGGTGTCTGGCTTGAACAAGAGCTCACCTTAGCTCAGTTGGTAGAGCGAGGGATTGTAATTGGTGGCAAACGCTCGCTCCCTAGGTCGTGTGTTCGACTCACACAGGTGAGATTAACTTTTTAGGTTTATTTTTGGGCTCGGATTTTTCTAAGGTCAATGCTTATCCCAGCCGATTTTTAATAAGGTCAATGCTTATCCAAGCCGCAATCAAAATCTTGCGTGCTGCTGAGACCTGTCGTAGTGAAGAGCAGTACACCTCAACGGATACACCATAGAATCTTTGTTTAGCTCCGTCTTCGATTCGCACCTATTAGTCGTCGCCACACTGTAGTTGCATAACGACGGATGTTGATTGTCACATGGCGAGTCTCAATAGAGGAGATCATCATGACGTCGAATCATGAAGGGTAGAGGAAGCCTGAGCCGATTCCGCTTTGTAGTCTTGTCGAGTGTACGAACTTAAAGAGAAAGGGCCAGTTCATTCTCACTTGCTTGGGCTAAACAAGCGACCTGTTTGCCACCAATTCCAATCCCTCGCGCTACCAACTGAGCTAAGGTGAGCTCTTGTTCAAGCCAGACACCTGTGTAATTTATAATTGCAAAATCAGGTCTGTGGCAAGGATCAGAAATTCAACACCTCTATTGGGTCACGTCTTTTCCGCCTCAGTGCCATCGATAAGAACCCCTTTCACCTGTCTGATCTCCCTTACAGATCTTTGACGACGGAGAATGACTGCCTGCGAAGAGAGAGTATTCAGGGCAGACAATAGAATAAAAAAGAAAATCCCGAGTGTTGGAGAGGAGAGTGCCAGGGTGAAAACAATCCCGCTTCCCGCATTTCCCGTTATCAGGGTGACTATCTCTGGCCCGGATGCGAATGTTCAAAATTTGTTGACCCGAGACTGGTTCCCGCTTGTGAATCACCACCTCTCTTTTTTACAATCACATTGAAGGGGCTTATCCTTTGCAGATGCCACGTAAATACTCTGGCATCAGGACCCGAAGTGTTTGGCCGGGGTTGTGCTTCGTTGTCCCACTCACCCGTTTCCAAGTACTTGGGAATCCGAGACATTCATTACCATTCCTACGGCGGCGGTCACTACGGGCCCGATTATACCAGCCACTTAAAAATTGCTCTTCCCGAACCTAGGCCGCTGCCGCTGCTCAGCGTCATGGGTACCCTTCGTGCTTTGGAGACTCGGGAGTGAATGACTAGATGGTGAAAAGTTGATTTTGTTTCGGCCTTTCAACGTAAACATATAACTTGTGACTTCCTCACTGTTGTCCCATTAGCCAGCACAATATCCAGAATGTCATCTGCAGCTGAATCACCGGTACACTTTCATTCACCGTTTTCAAATTCGATGGATTACTTCTCACCAACAGCTTACACGCTCGACCTCTGTTCGTCCTCGTCGCCTCCCAGTCCGACACCTAGGAGTCGTTCTTCATGCCAATACGATGACACGCCGTCAAGGCCTGGTCGTATGCTTAGATTCGACTCTAGTTCAGAACGAGCTGTTGTTGTGCTCGCATCGCCTGGCGAAGGCAGTCGGGCCGCACGGCGGTCGGTACAGCTTGATGAGAAGGCTACAGTGAATTGGGCGAGACCACTACGTTTAGAGGGCGAGAACGCTCCAGGTACGTCTGTTCTATATATCTGAGCTGACAGGTAGTCTGCATCTTTGGCGCATCCCTCCAGCGCACACGGCGCTTGAAACGCCAATCCCAAACATCAATGACGTCGCCGCTTCCTTCTCCTGCCAGCTCATCAGATGATGAGCCACAAACACCTTCACCCATATTAGCCTCCGAGAGCCCGATAATAGCGCGTAGAGGATGGAGTATGATGTCTGATCATTATGGTCTGGGCGTGGGCGAGCAAGGATGGGATGAGGCTCCTGGCTATTTCGTCGATAGCAAGGCTCAGGCGACGGCCGTAGTAGAGACGCCATCGAAGCTACTTGCTTCTAGCCAGAGCATGTCTGATTTCGCTTCCCCTGCAACACTGGACGAGCTGCGATATCTTCGTCAAGCTGCTGTGGATCTCGCCGAGCATGTCCGTAAACCGGTCTTTGCACCTCTCCGATCTACCTCGACACGCAGGATCCGCCGTAAGGCTGTGCCTTCCATCGACATAGGCGAAATAAGCCACTTTACTCTCCCGTCACCTCTGGACCCGTCGTCTATGCGCCATCATCGATCACGGACGTTGGATCCAAACCCTCCTATCCTCCCTCCACGATCTACTGAGCTCCACCAAGGTCAAAGACCACGCTATCAGACCCACTCCTCCTCGCGATCCGTCATCGAAGTATCGCCACGAGTCTCCAGCTTGCCTTCAAGACAAGCATGGCTGGAGTCAGTGAGCGTGCCGGACGGCCTCACTCAGATGGCCACTACCCCGAGATCGTTACAAGGTGGACATGCCGATCCTGATACGTTTCTTCGGCAGATGGACAGCGGGTTGAAGAAACTCGAGTTGGAAGGGAGGGGTAAACACCGTAGGGGCTTGTCAGGCTTCTTGGGCAGAAGGCAGAATGAAGTCTAGTTGGATGGTTCTTTTTGGGTCGTAACGTGCGAGCAGGTCTCGCTGTACTGTATGTTCCCAATGTCTGTCAATATATATTTGTTTTGGGTTAAAGAAGATACTCGCATCAGCATAGCCTGCCATACTTTGCATCATACAAAATGTTATTCGTTTACCATACTCGTATCATCTACAGCTCTTTGCACAAACAGGATCTTCCGGCAGATAGTAGTTCGTCGTATCGGGTAGCAATTGCAAGACCGCTATGTGTATTGACTATAGCTTGGTAGCGATAGCGAATCCGCTATGCGTCATCAGCTCTCAGCTCCTCAATGAGATGGTATGAATTTGCTTACTCCCAAAACTTGTGACCGACAGTTTGGATGCCACTCATCAATACCGTCTTTCCTTGGTCCTGTTCTACCCAATCGTACAATTTCCTCAATCCAGTGACATCGATAGACGGATTATCATTCTCCTCCAACGCGATCCTAAGCTCCAATCAGCTCGGAACCTTTGTCGGGTACTTTGACTATCACTCACCTTCCTCCGCGTACAGCATTATCACACATTATAATCCCTCCTTTCCTCGTAAGTCTCAGCGCCTCCTGGAAATACTCGTACATTCTCTCTTTATCAGCGTCAATGAAGACCAGGTCATATCCCCTTTCATGAGCCGGTAGACCTTCTTCTGTGCCCGGTATATCAAGCTTCTGAAGCGATTCGAGAGCGGGACCGACATGTACTTTTGGGAAAGGGTAAAGATCTAGGGCAAGAAAGTTCTCGTTGGCTACTTTGGCGTGAACGGGAGAAAGTTCCAGTGTATCGATCTGGCCATGTGCTGGTAAGGTCCTAGCTAAGAAGTATGTGGAATAGCTATTCAAACGGAGTTCAGTCAGCTGGGTACCAAGTGAAACCTGAACAAAAGGGTTACTGACCCCCATAAAGTCCCAATTTCAAGGATCTTTGTCGCTTTCAACCCCAGTGCCAGTACGGCAAGGAATTGTCCTTGCATAGGCGATACCTCAATTTCAGGCATATCGGCCTCTGCAGCCCTACGACGGCATTCTTCAAGAATCGGATCATCCGCCCATTGTCCTTTTGGAGCCAGCTTTGAGGTCAAGTACGCATCCACCGCTGCGGCGCTAGGTCCTTATAGACTCAGCATCATGTTTATATGCTCTCAATTCTCAAACTCACCATTTGCAGCTCCAACCGTGTCAGGAGGGAGAGTAGGTCGATTTGTCGGAGTATGCTTAACACTTCCATCAGAAGTAAGAGCATACGACATATTTCTGCTCGTTGAAATGCCTCGTCGAGAAATCAAAAAAGTCTGTCGTACAGTGTAATGTAAGCCAGAGATGGCACGAGGTGATAATGGACTACGCATGCGGTTACTGATTTGGTCTACAGCTTCTTTCGGTCTTTGAGAGGTTTAGATATACACACAGATTGTGTGTCTCCCCTGCTCGACTCGACAAACTTCGGTTAACAGTGCCCGGTCACCCCGGACCGGCTGATTTACTTCAACATCGGCCGACCAAGTAGGATTCTTGTGTGTAAATTGGTTTGATCTGGACTCGTGCATGACCAATAACTGTACAACTTGCTATGATACAAGATATTCAGAGTCGAATATAATTGTGCTGTCTATCATACCCTCTGAGTGTCGGCCGATACCTATGCGCAGGCGCTACCCTCCGTGTACAGCCAAGCCAAGCCAAGCCTCGCCGGACCTGCACTCTGTCCACAGAGCCGCTGTCTCAACGGATGACGAAACATTTATATGTCGCCCACGCCCCAAGAATAGCAAACAGACAAAGACATCCTAGAATCCCTCCGAACCAAGCATACTATGCGCGTGTTAAACCACGTCTCTGTTCACAGACAACCCACTCACCCCGTCCAAGATATCCTGTCCAGGCACGTGTACATTCATACCCCACAAACCAGTGACCAGATTCATCGGACTAGATTTCAAGATCAGCTCAGGGCCAGGAACGACGGCATCGCGCTACTGTGTAAAACTCACATGAGAACCGTACCCAGTGCAGTCAGCTTTGACAAGACGTCGTTGATCTGGTTATTTGCATCGGTCATCTCGATAGATATCTGAGCGAGGTAATTCGAGTGTGAACGCGACAAGATCTTTTCGTAGTGATTCAAGTTCTGTGTCATGGTGATCAAGTGATCTTGAATGTCCGAGAGATATAGCCCAATATCCGATTTAGGAGCCACGAGCCATTGTTCGTTACCTATCAATGAGCTACGAGTCATAAATGAACACTCGGACGCTTACATCGCTTGGCCAAGCCCTTGACGACATCCGCCTTGTTACCCATAAGCCTCAATAGACCCATGACTTTCTTTCGACACGTGCCGATCCTGCAATCAAGTCAGCCTCCGGCGCATCTGCATAGTTAGCCAACCCACCGCCGTAACATATCACTCTGCTCAGCCTCTTTGAGGATCAAGACAAGCTCGTCGATACTGTCGACCTCGTACTCAATACTTTGGATCAACGGACCGAAAGCATCGGTAATGTCGTCGATGAGCGCATATGAGATCCAATCAGATGTGA